GGAGCAAAGGGCCTTACTAGTAGTAACAAGAAGCTAGTAGTAACAAGAAGCACACTTGCTACTTGCTACGTGAGAATGCTCCTAGCAGCGATGCCAGGAGCCCTTCTTGTGGAACACAAATGGGCAGAAACCCTGCAACATACATTTTCAATCGAAAAGTACAACTCGAGACAAAAACAAAACTGTGCTCAATTAGACCAGCCAACTTCTATGCACCACATGCCCGCTTGCTTCACCCATCTCTAGGTTCCTGACTCTCCCCAGTGTGAGAACTGTGAAGACATCACTGCGCTGCCAGAGGTCCTTTACTTGTGCGACAACGCTTCGGGCGGCGTGAGTCGTTGGTGGCATTTCTCACTTCCTCCCGAGGGTCCTCTGTGCAAACCTTCCTGGCATTCCGATGGTACAACGCCTTGGACGGCAAAAAGGAGACCAAGACTTTGCAGTTCAAACCGAAGGAAGGAACATGAAGGAACACATACACTCCCATGTAGATGTGGAAAGTCCAAGGGGCCATGCATGGCCATGCCATCCACGGGCCCCATGATTTCAAGAACTTATCTAATTGCCGACCTACTAGCAAAAGGAACCTAAGTGCAATGGCCTCCAGCCTAAGTGCAATGGCCTCCAACCTACTTGCGATGGCCTCCAACCTAGAAGCATGTGTAAATCGAAGGAAACCATTTTAAACCGGTTTGCTTTGCGTCCGGACGTCGGAATCTCGAAGGTGAGCACGGTGGAGTTCTCGACGGCTCCAGACTGCGGGACAAGGGGATGGGATCAAAGCAAAGTCGGTGGCGAATTCTCAACCTAATAGCATTGGCCTCCAACCTGATAGGATCTGATAGGAATGACCTCCATCTTAGAGTTTTCGTTCTGTCGGATTCCACAACTCCACCTCCATGCTGTTCATGACTCCCATCTTCTTCTGCATTTCCTCAAAGTGGAGAGATGAAAGAATCTGGTGACGCGATGTCACGGAGTCAGTGCCTTCCACTTCATACAGTATCTCTTTCCACAGCATTTCAAAGACCAGGATCAAGCCACTCCCCGCCTCCATGATCACACCTTGGTATTCGTTGGGCACGTCAATGACTACTTCCTGTCGTGACAAGCCAAACGCGGAACAGAAAACATCAACCAGAGGCCAAACCGTTGTTCACGGGTGAACCTGCTGCCCAAAAGCGTCAAAACTCCACACGTTCGCCAGCGCAGGAAAACGGCGATTTTTGGGAGGTCACCGCAGGCCCTAGCACGCTACCATCCACATCCAAACATATCCAAACCAGAACCATTGCCCAAACAAGTGATCAGTGTCTGGTGTCTCCTCGTAGGGCTCCAGCTTCTTGCCCGTCTCTGGGTCTTCACCTAGCTGCAGCTGCAAAGTGCGAATAACTACAAAAAGGGCCCATGCCAAAGATGCTGACCTCAACCAAGTACTTGTCTCGGAGATTATCTAGTCTTGGAATGTCTTGGATTACTTAGGCCTGTGATCGGATTTAGAGTTGAGATCCACAGTTCTGGAGTCTGCCCCAGACTTTGCAGATCAAATGTGAGGTGCCAACGCAATAGAACTTCAGGAGCACTGACCATGAACTCGAAGCCCTGTTGCAATGAAACCAAAATCGATCAAGGGCTTTGTAAAAACTTGAGTCTTCACCAGCACGACAGGTCTGGGTCAAGATAGGATACAACCAACGGGCCTAATTTCAAGAATTCTGTGTGATGCGCATTGAAGTTGAGGTTTTGGATTGTTTTGGCCATGAACCGATGCAAAGTGCCGTGTTCTTGATCCATGTCCATGTACCAACAGGCAAATCGTGCCTCTCTGCGCATGTTCTCCATCAGAATGCCCAGCCTAAAGAACTTAGATCAATGTTTTGATGAAACAAACAAGTGAAAGGACGTCACTTGCAAAGTCGTTTGTTGTTTGCTCTCTCGCTCTCTCTCTCTCTCTCTCGCATACATTTTTTGGGTGCGTGCGTGCGTCCGTGCGTGCGTGAGCGTGCGTGAGCGTGCGTGAGCGTGCGTGAGCGTGCGTGAGCGTGCGTGAGCGTGCGTGAGCTTGCGTGAGCGTGCGTGCGTACGTGCGTGGGTGGGTGCTTGTGGAGCTGCTAGCTTGTGGATCACATTTGAATGCTGAGTCTTTGCGTCTACATAAAATGTGATGCAGGAGATTCTGGGTCAATGACGCTGTGGATGAGAGTGGGAAGCAGGGGCTGATCATCCCTGTGTACCTGCGATTTGTGAATGTTGATAGCTACGTCCCACTCTACTTCAGGCTGTTTAGGTGTGTCGTTGTTTCGATCATCGACTTGAAGCTTGGAATTTAACTTGGCACTACTTGAATTGGACTAATGAGCCTGACCTCCTTGGAGCTAAGGAGCCTGAATCTTGATGAACTCTTGGAACTCTGGGTAGTTTGGCCTTCTGAAGATGTGCAATCCAACCCACATGTTACCCGATGTCCTCAGGCAATTTCTTACCTAGGCTTCTTCAGGGCAAGTGGCTTTCAGTTCAGTACGCAATTGCGTACACCTTGGATTCAAAGGTTACCTGTCGGTAAGATTTCATTGACTTCTTCTGTTTGTAAGCAGGGGGCACGGAGACTGATTTCCCATCCGCGCCAACGAAGCTACGGAAATCAGTTAGAGTTGGGATGCGAACTCTTGTACCTGCACTTCGATCTGGTTTGTGATGTTGAGTAACCACGCTCTTCTCTAGACTTCAGGTAGTTTAGGTAGCTCTCAGGTCGGCAGATGTGAACGTTCATCGTCGATGTCGTCGCGCCGCTGTGAGAACTTTGAGACTTCCAATTCTGGCAGCTCCTCCGGCGGTGTGACTTTGGAGCTGTTCAAACCACCCTTTTTTTCTACGACCTCTGCACTACTTAGGTTTTTGAGATACCGAGGTCTCTTCAGGGCTTGGAGCGATCAGATCGTACGTATGCATTTACTAAGTGTGTGCGTGTGTGTCTCAGAAAAAAGCTAGCATTCCACTGGGTGCCACGGGCTGCAAGGTACCACGGCCCTTCACTTTGAAGCTTTCAGTCCTTGGAGAAAACAGGAAACATCGGGATTCGTCCCCTTTGCTGAACAGCGGGAGTTCAATATAATCAAACGAATCTGGGGGGCGTCACGTGCTTCCGGGCTCCATGCGGATCGCCAGATTCGTGAGGCACTCCTTCTCCAAGCGTGCCTTCCAGCGGGAGTGCACAAGCCAACATCCCAATTCAGTCGGTGTTTTCTTCTCGGCCACACGCGTACAACCTGGCAGAAAGGACATAGCAATCTGCAGTCAAAGGCAGCCTTCAGCTGTGGTGCCGTGACCTTGGTGGACTCCTGCATGTTTTTTCTCAGATGTTGGGCACAAAAGAAACTGACGTGGTCATGAAAATCATACAAAATCATGTTGATATCAACAATGAACTTGCTACCCAAACCAATCGTCAAACGAGAACATCTTCAGATGTTCAAGCTCAAATCAAACAAATGTGCCACCTCTTTCAAACTGTTTGGCATTAATTTGTGACACTGTTGCAACCTCCAAAAGTGACCACAGAAAAATGGGCTAGGGTGGCCAGGAAAAGACATCTCCTTGAGCTTACCTGCAAAGGGAGATTTGTTGATGGTGAACTCCATGGCCACTGTGGGCTCCTGGAAGGGAATTTGATGGGAGTCGAAGTCGCGAAGTCGCAAAACGAGAGAGATGGAAACAACAAAAATTCCCAGGTTCACTGGTCGACCGGTCTAGAGATCTCAAGAAGAAAAAGGAAGTACTAATGCCAGGAGCTATTACTAGGAGCGTCCTTGCTCCTAGTAGCGATGTAGCGATGGCCTCCAACCTACTTGCAATGGCCTCCCCCTAGTAGCGTCCTTGCTACAAGAAGGATTAACAAATGAAAGGTATGGGACAAGATGAGACGCGAAGCTGGCCCAAAGGACGCGCGGACACTCGCCCAGACCTCAACCTGGATCGGCGGAAGGGGCAAAGGCGTCTGAGTGTCCACCACTGTGTCACCAATCATCACCTGCCCAAGGCTGCATGAGATCTTTCAATTAGGGCGGAGGCCATCGCCACTACAATCTTCGATTTACCGGCAAGCGCCGAAGGTGAATATATTTTTGATCTAGGCGCGCAGTATACGTCAGCATTGCTTAGCGAGCACACGTCACATACCATCACATACCTCTAGCTGGGCGAGGATGCAGTTTTTGCTCTACAAGTATATTGAATTCAGTGCTTTCAAACCTTTGGAAAGGGACAAAACACCACAATCAACCCTGGTTAAACATGTCTGATTAAATTATGTGTGTATCAAATGCACAAGCATGTCTTGCAACATGGTTCTTTAGGAGCTCCAATCCGATTCTTTACCGCTTTTATCCGCTTTTCCTGCAATGGAGCGGTGGACCACATCCTGTGTGGGTGTATGGCCTCCAACCTGCTAGCGATGGCCTCCAACCTAATAGCAAAAGGAACCTAATAGCGATTCATGAGTGTGCTTTCGGATAGCTTTTCCTGAAGCGGTAGATGGTTGAATGCTGTTGGCCTCTAGCAAATCCAACATCTCTCAGGTGTGTCACGTCCCTGAATGTCCATCCACGTCCTAAAGCTGGTTAAATCTGAAGCTGCAAATGACTGCAAGTGGTTGGTGTGAAAAATTCTCAAGACATCTTCCTGACCTCGCTAATGCCTGAGAAGCAGCAAATGTCACCTGCTTTGACCTCAGTCATCTCAAAAGATCCGCAGAGGCGGATCTCTGCCTTAACGAAAAGAACCGTCAGGGTTCTTAGGAGCCGGCAATGTCAGTTGGGTCTTTGTCATTATTCTTGAATTGCCAAAGTTTTGTGACCTCAGCGAAAACTCAACGATGAAGCAATGAAGCACGAGGGCATGAGGCCACCATCAGCACCGGGCAGTTCCCTTCCGAAGTTCACCATCTTCACCATACATGATCCCCACCTTGCGAATCTGAGAGGCACTTGGATGAAGACACCCAGTCTTGCACAATGACCCGAACATATCGGAACAACCCTATTCACCCTAACATGGAGGCCATTGCTGTTAGGTTGGAGGCCATCCATCCCTATTAGATTGGAGGCCAAGTAGGTTGGAGGCCATTGCTATCAGGTTCCTCAGCATGGCATGTGCCCCGTTCCGTCCGCCTTTCCTTGGCGCCTCTGGTCCAAAGGCGGGCTCGAGAGTCCGCTGACCGGGCGCCTCCTGACCGACCTTCAACTCGCCAGAAATGAGGCGACCAATGCAGATACGCCTTCGACATCGAGGAAGGTCGAAGAAACGGCAAGGTGCCGTGGAAGGTCGTTTCGACAACAGCTCCCCTTCCAAAAAGGGAAATTGTGCACATGTTTCGGTTTCTAAAAAAAGCAACTCCTAGAAACCAAAAGAATAGGACGAGCACTTCTTCAAGGAAGCTCCTCCCCCGCCCTCAGGCGCGGGGAGCTTCCTTGATTAAAGAAGCGTGAGCTATCCTGCGTCCTCCTGTCCTAATACATCCTATATATATATATTACTAATTAGTACCATTTAGTACCCATACCATCACATACAGTACCTCTTCTCTAGCGTCCTACCCCGCCGGCTAAAAAACAGACAAGCACGCATCTTCAAGACGGAATCCGTTCGAGTCCCCCCCAGCGGGCCCAACGTAGTCGTCGTAGTCCAGGTTGGACACCTCGATGCCACACTCAAGACTCGTTTCAGGAGTGAGGAAGTGAGACCTCCTTTTTGAAACAAACAGAATAACATATAACAAGAACACTTAAATGCCAAACACTCGGAAACAGTTTCGTTCTTATCATTCGTTATTACATGTTTGAGAAGTGAAAGCAGTTCCTTCTGAGACTGCGACCAACATTTGCAAGGGAGCTGTACTATCAACTTTGGGCGGAGGAGTCTCCTCGATCGTGCAAGGTCCAAAAGGTACTCCAAAAGGATTCTTCGTGAAGAAAGAAGAATGGACAAGAATATTCCTTTTTCCGGCCCACCTGCAGAATGGTGTCCAACAAGGGAGTCAAATCCTGCGGAAAGAAGCACTGCAATTTGCGGGCATCAAAGCTTCAAATAGGCGGGAACAAAAACATTCACCATTGGCTTTAACCGAGTGAGTTCAGCCCAAGCACGCGCCTTCTCGAGCTCATCCGGGCCTTCGGTGGATGCGACACCCTGGAAGCCAGAGGCATAGACCTCGAAAATTCCAGAGAAAATAACAGCTGCTAGCTTCCAACCTAATAGGAATGGTCTCCAACCTAATAGGAAAGGTCTCTAACCTAATAGGAATGGCCTTCAACCTATTAATAATAACGATTGCCTCCAACCTAAAAAGCAGCTTCAACTAGTCCTCATAAGCTTCAGAGAGTAGTTGCTTTCAGAGAGTATAGCTGCACGTTCATATCACATGTTTCTTCTGAAAGCAATGGCGCAGCTCTTGTTTTGGTCAGATATGGAGACCAAAAACCTGACCCCTTTGAGTGTTACACATCGGCAAAAAGACACACAAACCGGCTCGGGTCTCCCACCACCGGAAAGTCGCAGGCTTCATCATCTGCGCCCAGGCATCCGAACAAGTCGAAGGTCGTGTCCAAGACCTCGGTCGTGAAGCCGCGAAGCTTGCGAAAGAGCAAAAGAAGAGGGCATTGCTACTAGGAGCAAGGACGCTACTAGGAGCTCATGGCAGATTGGTTCACAATCTGCGCACACAACACGAAATCTGAAGGAAAAGCCTTTCATGGGATTCTAAAAACACTATATAAACCTTTTTGGTGGAGCCAAGCGACCCAATCAACTCTGGATGCAGGCTTGTCTACCTCGCAGGGATGATCAAATCTTTTATTCACCGATCGGGTTGCACAACTGTCTGCTACGAAGTCAGATGCTGAGATGGTCTGCCCGCCAGCCTTGTTGATGCAAACGATGATCTTCTTCTGCAGCTTTAGAGCCTGCCTGCAAGAACGATCCCGCACACTTTCATAAGGTGGAGAGACCTGGATCTTAGCAACGTCCCAACTGTTGGTGCACAAAGGACGTATGGACCGTCCACTACCGATCCACCAGGGGGTTAACTCCTAGAGACAGATGGGCCCGACGGACCTATCATGACCAGTGAAAGCCTGGTGCTAATAGGAATGGCTTCCAACCTTTTTGCGATGGCCTCCAACCGCGGGAACATTTAGGTCTTACAAGCCAACATTTGGAGTTCAGGTTTTACAGGCTTGATCCTGGCCTCAGGACGAACTTGGTCTGCGGCATGGGGCCTTCCTTACAGTCAAACTCTGATCGAATGCTCCTTTTCTAGGAACTTACATTTTTTTTAGGTGCCGCATGCAAACTTACTATCCTCAAAAGCAAAACCTTTCAGTCTGTCCAACAGTCACACATCAAAGGCAAAACCACTTTCAGATCGGATACGACAAACACCCGAGGCCATCCGAGGTCCCAAGCAGCAGCATCTACCAGCAAAAGGCAGGCATCAGCCTTGGACTTGGTCTCTGAGAAAATCCCTTCTCCAACCTTCAGATCCAAAAGGATCCAAAAAAGCGGCATTTTGTCTATCCTTCTGTCAAGCCGACTTGTGGGATGCCGACTTCTTTGAAGGGACATGAAGGGGCTGTCGACCGAATGAAGAGGACGTCAGAATGTCACACTATCATACACTATCGCCAATGAAGACAATTGAAAAGAAAAGTCAGACCAGACCGGCACTTGCTGTGCGAACTTCTTAACCCAGTGGCCATGTTCAGGATCCGCTCGACTTCAGCGCCGAAGTCCGCGTGGCCAGGGGTGTCCACTAAGTTGATCTGGCAACGTCACGCGGTGAGGCGAGGCCATTGGAACTGGAAGCTTTACGTTCTCGAAGGCATTTGAGTTCCAAGTCCTGAAACTGCGATGTCGGAATTCCCTTTTTTATTCTTTTTGTGAGGTGGCCTCCGAAGCATGTTAAATTAAAGCCTTCAAGCCAAGCAAAAAGCTTGGCCAAAAAGGCTTCGATCGCTGGGACAAGTAACAAATAATGACATCATTGTAGTATGCCAGAAAAATTGGCTTCACGCGCACACACACACACACACTGATGGTGATATATCGATCATGGTCTCAGTAGTTTGCAAGAAATTGGATCATCGAGGACATCCGGCAGCTATTTATTTGGGCCACTGTCCTAATCTAATCTATATCATATATATATATATACCCATTAAGACTGGAAGGTTTAACATATTTCACCCAAGTTTCCCTCCACTGCAGCGAGTGAACCGCACCTTGATTCCTTTGTACGTCACAGCGGCGTTTTTTGCCAGGATTGTAATTCCTCGCTCCTGCGACATCCATCATGTTCTTTCTGGATCTTTCTGGTCCCGCAAGTCCGCAAGGTCATCGCCGCTCGCTTCTGAAAGATCTTCAAGGTGTTTTACTCTAATGCTTTGCTGAAAAGAACTGGAATGAACTGCAAGGGCTACCCTGCAAGCTCTTTTGCGATGGTGCGTGATGATCTGTGGAGATTTTAGAGGCACACCAAACATCATTCGCTTCATTACCATAAACCCTGCAATGTCCTTTCCTTTGGGCGACCTTGGCTTGCACCACTGTGACCAGCGCACGCACAGTAAACAACAAACGTGCCCACAGCACCAGTTTCTCCACGACCCACAGAAGCGCCAAAAAGGAAACATGACGGTCACCGCCGCCATGGTGTGCACTCCAAAGAACGTCTTCACTCCCCATCCAACTCTGTCAGCCACACAGCAGCAAAGCAAACGCCTTGACAATTCTGGCATGCAAACCTTGGCAGCAAACAAGAAGCTACTAGGAACAAAGGCATCGCTTGTAGCAAGGACGCTACTAGGTGGCTCCTGGCCATACTACTAGGAGCAAGAAGCTACTAGTAGCAAGAAGCTTCTCTCGCCGGTGTCACGCCGAGAAGGAAATTGGACAAAACACCAGTCAAGTCAACGCTGGAGTCTTGTGTGGCTCTTATCAGCGACTCCAAACTGGCAAGCGCCGGGTGCTGACTCTGCACTACCCTCGTTGTCCGACGAAGCTCGACAAGCTCTGCACCCCCCCTTCTTTGCAAGAATGGAGAGCTTAGGGGAGTGGCGTGAGCGGTGGCAAACACCATAGTTATACCTGCAGCCAATATCCTAAATCCAAACTGCATTGAATTTCACCCTAATAGCAATCGCCTCCAACACTGCCTGCAACCTAATAAATAGCAGCTAATATAGATTATTAAATCCAGGTCTCTTTCCATCTCAACTTCAAGCTGCAAACAAATGCAAACGGCATTGGAAGGCTGACAAGCTTCTTTGATGGCAGTTCTGCACCTTTCACCCATGTTCACACCTTTCTCTGTTCAAACATCTCTCTTCGCTTCTTTTTGTTTCGGAGTCAAAATGCAAAGGTCGGAGATCTCCTGCTCCAGCTGGTCGCTATCCATTGACTTCACCTTCTCCATTCCACACCTTGGCGATGAAGACCGACGGAAATCCCACAAGCTGTGGCACCATCGAAGATCCGAAGATCGATTGCTTCGAGCTGCTGCTTCATCAGGGCATTGGTCAATGTGGTCCTAGGCCAGCAACTGTGTCAATGGACGTCAATTTCCACGCTTCAGAATACTTCAAAAAGGCATTGTCGATCCTTGCTATTGCAAGATCTATTGCAATCGCCACATTTGCAACAATCTGGCCACAAATATCCGATCAGTTCACCCTGAGGCCAGAGCTTGCCATGATCGACATGCGCAATGATCGCGATGTTGCGCAGGTCCTCGCCGACCGAGTCTCTCCACCGTCGGCCGACCACGTCTCGGCCGTGGCCCCTGGCGCTCACGGCTGGCACCTCGCGTTCGATGATGCTGGGCTTGTCCAAGGTGGCCACCCGCAACGGCAATCTGGCAACGACGCCAAGCGACGGAGACTGATATCGGAGGTGTTTGATGGTTTTTGTCCATCTTGTGATGGATGCTTCTTTGATCTTTTCTGACTGTGACATACCGTGACGTCCCGAACAATCCTAAACAAGTTGAAGTTCCATACTGTGACGATCTGTGACGTCCAGGACGTCCCTACTTTCCGAGTGGAACTTGCTTAAAGTCCGGGCAGTTCTGACCGAGTCCGTACCGAGTCCCTTCTCCCAAGTCCCGAGTCCGTTCAGCTGAACGCAGCACGTTATGCCCCGTTTCACCCTGGCCTGCTGCGACGACTAACACTTCGTCGGTGAAGCCCGGCAACTGCACATTATAGAGGCAAGGGACATGAACATTGATTGTTTTAAAGACTCCAAATCTAAGCTAAACATCCTTGAGTGAAATAGTTTGTGAGCAGAAATCTGGCTTTTGCAACGAACATTCTGACAATACCTCGTGACCTCGAGCTGTGTCTCTTGAGCATGGATTGCGTACCCTGTCCACACCTTTCTCTGCGCATCAAGTAGAGGTATCGAAATATTGAAAGGATGCTACTGCTGATGATGCTCATGACTCATGATGTTGCTGTTTGAAACATCAAACGTATATGCGTGTGACGTGTGCGTACACATTTTTTCATCGCAATGTACAACTCTGAAACAACGACAATTCATCCGCCCAAAAATGTTTCAAGCTCCTCCACTTGGTCTACCGAGTCTACCGATTCTGCCTGCGCCCGCCAGTAGGGAGGCTGACAATGCCTTGACGGCACAACGAACGAACGATCACGCAAGCCTCTCCAGTCCGATCTGGTCGCAAAATGATTCAGAAGAGACAGGTGGGGTCACTGGCCACCGTTCCTGTGCTCTAGCGCTGCAGCACTCCAGGGCAGGGCATGGTACTTTAATGTAACATGTATTTTCTATGATATAATCATATATGATCTTATGATATATATATATATATTATATATTTATGGTATGTTTTTCTGATTCTGTGTGGAAAACGTCGTGAACCAATTGACCCCATGTGACCTACGGAAGGAAGAAAACAACAATGCAAAGGAACAAAACATGCAAACACGGATGCTTTGACTCGACCGTTGTTGGGCGAAAAAACTCCAAAATCCAGACGTGACCCCAAAGGAATTTTCTGCCATGTGGCATGAGAGCTCGTCGAGCTGGATGGCAACTCAGGGCATCTTCGACCTAGCTCTCTCTGCCTAGGTCTTGGGTGGCCACCCTGCAAAAGCGTCAAATGAATTTCCAGAGTGTCCGCGACGGGCTGCCTGCCAAACTCAGTCTTTTCCGCATTTAGATGCACTAGGAGCAAACACGCTAATAGGGGCTCCTGGCATCACTACTAGGAGCAAGGACGCTACTAAGGGCTCCTGGCATCACTACTAGGAGCATTCTTACTACTACGAACAAGAAGCTACTAGGAGCCCCTGGCATGGCTACTAGGAGCAGGACGCTACTAGGGGCTCCTGGCATCAATACGAGCCATCGCACTGCTAGGGGCTCCTGGCATCGCTACTAGGAGCAAGGACGCTACTAGGAGCATTCTTACTACTAGGAACAAGAAGCTACTAGGGGCT